AGGTCGACCGCTGCCTCGCCTACCTCGCCAATACGCGCGACACCGCCTTGGAGTTCGGCGGTGGACCTGAGCCGCTGGAGCTGGTCGGCTACGTAGACACCGACGACGCCAGTGACAAGCAGAACAGGACGAGCACGAGTGGCTACGTGTTCGTCTATGGAGGGGCCGCAGTCTCCTGGTCGAGCCAGCGCATCAAGTGTGCGACGTTGTCGTCGACTGAGTCGGAGTACGTGGCAGCTACCGAAGCCGGCAAGGAAGGACGCCGACTTCGCTTCCTCCTTGCAGAGTTCCGGCAACTGGATGCCGGGAAGCCGACCGTCCTTCGGGTGGACAACAAGTCGGCTATCACAGTCGCCGAGGGGATGGGGTTGACGGGCAACCTCAAGCACATGGAGCGGCGACAGGCCTGGCTGCAGCACATGGTGAAGCGCGGGAAGTTCTCGCTGAGGTACATCCCGACCACTGAGCAGCCGGCCGACTTCCTGACAAAGGCGCTGCACTATCCGGCCTTCAACCGGTGCTCCGTCGCAATCAGCCAGGTGCGCTTGGCCGACGAGGGCGACGGCGACAATGACGTGCAGCAGTAGGTGCCATGCCCTCTTGCATGGCTGGTGCGGTGACCGGCGTGCTGTGTGTTGGGTGCACGTCGACGAGCTTTTCTCCGAGGAGTACTGCTGTGTGGGCTGGGGCCCAAGCGCGAACGCGGCAGGGGAGTGTCAACGGGAGTTGTGTGTTGGCCCCGTCCTCGCTTGGGCGGAGCCGACTTTGTGGTCGGGTGTGAGGGGAGCAGCCGACCTACAGCAGTGGGCGAGCTGGTTGACGAGGAGGTCGACCTGCACGGGGACCACTGCACGGGCGCCGACTTCAGGGTGGCGCCAACTTTGGGAGGTCGACTTAGGAGTCGACCTGCGGAGGACGTCAACTTGGGGAAGCCGACTTCGGTGGTCGGCTGATGTGCTGGTCGACCTACGGGTGGTCGACTGGACCCGGTGGTCGACGAAGGAGGGGCCGACGTCGACCTCGACTCAGGACGCCGAGCAGATGGGCGTCGAGTAGCGTGGTCGTCGACCGAGGGGCGTGGTCGCCCTGGTGAGGTCGACATGGAGGTGGTCATCGACTTGGGAGGTCGACGGGCACGTACGGGAGTTGCTGGTCGATGTCGTTGCCCGGTCGACCAGGTTACCTGGTCGACGAAGTGCTGCGGAGGAGTGCGACGGTCGCCCAGGCGAAGTTGGCGAGACCGACCTCGGTGGTGGTATCCCGAGGTCATCGTGGCAGATCAGAGGTAGCCGTTAGCCCGAGGTTGACGTGGTGTGTGCGCTGTGCAGGTGACGAGACTCTGCACGCCAATCATCTGCGCGCACCTGCAAAGCGGGTGCACTGCTGTCCTGCGTGAGCAATGCTGGCACACCGTCAACCTGCGGCGTTGGCACGCTGTCGACTTTGCACTGCTGGAGCGCAGTCGACCAAGTCGTGTTGGAACGCGGTCGACCATGCTGTGCTGGCAGTTGACCGACCTGAACGCTAGCTCTGATGTAGTCTTGCATTGCCAACTTCATTGCACCATTGTTGTCATCTTTTCTTAGTGAAACTCTTGCCAAATTGCCCCGTGAATTAGCAAGTAGTGTGAGCACTAGGAAAACGTCTAAGGACCAACGAACGCAGAGATCACACGAGCACACGTGCCTAGCCAGTAGACTAGCTCCCGTTGTAGTAGTTATCTCCGCAAGGTTGTCCCTATCGGCGTAGCACGGAACAAGACTGTACTCACCGGGAAGTGGGTCTTCCACGTGAAAACAAAGGCAGATGGCACCATTGATAAATTTAAAGCACGATCGGTCGCGGCTTCGATCAAGAGCACGGACGCGAGTTCACCGAAACGCTCGTTCCGGTCAGCCGACACACCTCGCTGCGAATCCTCCTCGCGATTGCTGCCATGAAGAAAAGGAAGCTGCGGCAAATTAACGTCGCCAACGCCTTCCTCTACGCACCTGTCGATGCAGAAATCTTCGTCGAGCTACCGCACGGCTCCAACCGAAAACCTAATCAAGTCTGTCAGCTGCTGAAGTCACTCTACGGTATCAAACAAGCTCCAAGGCTGTGGCAGCAGTACCTACACGCAAGACTCACTCGCATCGGATTCCGTCAGCTACCTCACGACCAAGGCATGTACCGGCTCACAAAGGGAACCGACTACTTCCTGCTAATCGTCTACGTCGACGATTTGCTCAACATTGGCTCAACCGACAACGTCACTACCTGGTTCGAAGGGGAGTTACAAAAGGATCTCACACTCACGGTCTCGTCCACCGTCACACAGTACCTCGGCCTAAACATCCAGGAAGAAGAAAATGCGATCTACCTCAGCGCCGCGAAATACGCCGATACCATCGCCAAACGCTTCGCACTCACGCCGACCGTCATCTCCACGCCATACCGTTACACGGCAGGAAACCACAAGGAAGGCTCCGCTCTACTCAAGCCCGCCGGCATACGCGACTACCAGAGGAAGCTGGGATGCCTCCTCTTCGCAGCTGTCACCTGCCGCCCAGACCTATCGTACTCTGCAAGCCAGCTCGCCACCTACCTCAAGAAACCTGAAGCGAAACATCTGGCGGAGCTCGACCGCGCTCTTCACTACCTCGTCAGCACCCCGACAATCGGCCTGACCTACCATAAGAACACGGCTACAGCGCCTAAACTAATCGGCTACGTCGACGCCGATCACGCCGGGGACTCTGACAACATACGCTCACGCACCGGCTACATCTACCGCTTCGAACCTATCATTCCTATCTCCTGGCAGTCGAGCAAGCAAGAACTAATTGCTCTCTCCTCAGCCGAAGCAGAATACATCGCACTTTGCTCAGCCACCAAGGAAGGACTCTATCTTCGCGAACTGCTCGAAGAAGCAAAATTGGCCCAGTTACCCAGCTTCACCCTGCTTTGCGACAACCAGTCGGCAATTCGCATCGCCAACAAGAACGGCTTCGCGAACAGGACGAAACACATCGCCCTGCGATACTTCTTCGCGAAGGACGAGATCGAGAAAGGAAGACTCGAGCTGTCATACTGCCCCACATCCGAGATGGCAGCTGACTACTTGACCAAGAAGCTCGGGAAACAGAAGTTCGAGTACTGCATGCTGCTGACTGGACAGAGTCATGTCACCAGCAGCGACACTCCAGAAGCAAAGGGGAGTGTTGGAAACAATTAACTCTAAGCGCCTCTGTCGTGTCGAAACACCAAGTCAAAAGCGAAGCGAAGCATATCGAAGCACTGGCAAGTCAACTCTCGGAGGTTGAGCAGTTGCTGGAGGTTACGCGAAAGTCAAAGGTCAGCGACCTTTGACCTGACAAGTAGAGCGCGACAGCAAGGACACACAACTAACTCGTTACAGAGCAGTTGCTCGAGTCGTCACTGTATCAAACCGCAACAGCAACAGTATAGTAGTTGTAACTGTATCTCTTCATATTCCATGTACTCTTATATAATCCTGTATCTCTTTGTTTTAATCAATCAACTTTGCCCTCACATACTAGCGCAAGGTGGTTCACAACTCTTCATTAAAACGCTTCCGCTACTACATCAGTCCTACCCAGAGTTCACCCCTGCAATGATCCTAAGGGCTTTTTTCTCAGCCCAACAGAGGCGCCACTAACAATTACTGTACACCATCGCCGGCGCAAAGGCAGGGTGGCTTGGAGCTGACCCGGCAGTACACCACCATTACAGTACACCATTGTCATACACATGCAGCTCGCCTGCTCCCTCACGTCCCAAGTGAGCTTTGAGACACCCCATTGCCCAACCCCAATCCAAGACACGCAGGCCAGGGCTTAGGTTTGGATTTTGCCTTCTCACGATTAGCAGTGTAGACATTTTCAAAACCCTTCTGAGCAGTGTGCCCTTTTTGGAAACACTGATGGATCAGTGTAACTTTAAGTTTTGAAAACTTTACCCAGAGGCATCAGTGTAGGTATATTTTTTACCCTGATTGTACTTTAGGCTGCTCAATATGTGCTGGCTGCAATCAAGCTCGAGGCCCAAATCGCGCACGATTACTATCGTAAGTTGGGCGCTGGTGGGTGGGAGTTGTGATGTGAACTCAAAAGTTGAGCGCAGTGGCTTGTCTGGTTTCGCTGCAACACTTGTATTTTTCGCCAAGTCAGCAAATTTCGAGTGTGTTCGGAAACCTCGAGTCCCAAATTTCCGAGTCAGGAAAGTTGACGTTCTTGCAGAGAGTGCAGCTTCGACCAATCAGGTTGCATCGCCTCTACAGTAACGGGTAGGTTGCAAGCAGACACGGAGTGACACGGTGTCGGTTGTCAGTACTCACGTGTGCTGGCGTCGTAGTGCATCATTACGAAATTGGGTGTATCGCTACGAAAGTTCTAGGAAACTTCTTCTCAATAAGTAGAGTTTCCGAGGGGGGGGGGGGGGAGTCCCTGTACGCTCTTCAGGGTAATCTTCGCTAAGGGAAAAATCACCCCAGAGCATCAGTGTGGCCTAAATCATTACACTTACAGATCAGTGTAACACTAACTCACCAAAAAATTATCCCAGCACATCAGTGTAGACCCAAAAATTCACCCTTGTAATCAGTATAGAAGGGAAAATTACACTGCAAACCTGAGCCCTGACGCAGGCCTCTTATAAACCAACCCATCCCTTCACAGCCATGCGTGCTTGCACTGAAAGTCAGTGCCTCCCATCCCCACCCACTCGCCAGCAGCCATGGCCGCAGCGCCTGAGAGAGGGCACGTCAGCAGGGGCATGGTCCCAAAGGCCAGGGCACGCCCTCCTGTACAGAAGCCAGTCTGGCCTTCTCTCGCAACGGCAGCACGTTTTAAGCACGGGGCCTCCCATCCCATCCCTTCACAGTCGCTGTGATCAGCTGGCAGCACTCGCCAGCAGCGGCGCCCGCGGTGGATGGAAGAGGGCCATGCCAGCAGCAGTGTGGTCCCAAAGGCCAATAGCGGCTCTCCCATCCCGTCCCGTCACAGCCGCAGCAATCGAGTGGCAGCACTAGCCAGCAGCCGCGCCCGCAGCGCCACGTCAGCAGCGGCGCGGTCCCGCCCCTCGCGGCGCTCCCTCTGGCGCTGGTTCTTGGCGCGCTTGGGCGCCAGCCTCTCATCGCGCGCCACAAACGCCAGCCTGAACCGCTCTGCTACCGACAACTCCTGTGGCGCCTCTGATTCCTGTGGTACCTCTTGTGGTACCTCTGCTCCTGACTTCACCTTTGCTCGTGCTCCTTCCATCACCAATCCTCTCCTCCGCCCTCTTGCCTCCGCCTCTCCTCTTATCCCCTCCTCCTCATCCTCCTCGCCTTCCTCCCCCTCCTCCTCGTCCTCTCCAGCGCCCCTCTCCCACACTGCCGGGGGGATACCGACCAGGTGCGGGGCGTCGAGGGGGAGAGCCGGGAAGGCTTGCAGGGGGGTGCGCGAGAGGAGTGCGGAGGGGAGGGCAGGGATGGAAGTGGGAAGGTTAGGAGGAATGGACGGGTCGGAGGAGGGAAGAGTAGTGGGGATGTGACAGTAAGGGGGAGGCAGAGAGTGGGGGGGAGGAGGAGAGGGCGGGGCGGGGTTGAGGAGGATACGCGGGCACTTGGAGGCGAGCAGTGATGCTGTGTTGGGGTCCGCCTCAGGCTGTGCAGGGGGGTGGACGGGTGGAGGGGAAGGGAAGGGAGGGGATGTGAGAGAGAGATTGCGGGAGAACGAGGTTGGGATGGACACAGGGGTAAGGCAAACGCACGTTGACTATCCGCCGGCAAGGAAGAGCAGGTTGCATAGGAAGGAGTGGTGAGAGTGAATTCATGCAGGTGACGGGTAATGGTTGGGGAAGGCGATGAATGGGAGTGGAGTGGTGGGTCGAAAGCATGGGTGTGAGAGGGTGAAGGTGAAAGCAATCAGAAGAGGCACTGCCAAAGGGGCACACACAAGGGGCGAGGGGCACACACAAGGGGCGAGGGGCACACACAAGGGGCGAGGGGCACACACAAGGGGCGAGGGGCACACACAAGGGGCGCACGCAAGAGGGGCACAAGCAAGAGGCGCACGCAAGAGGGGCACAAGCAAGAGGCGCACGCAAGAGGGGCACAAGCAAGAGGCGCACGCAAGAGGGGCACAAGCAAGAGGCGCACGCAAGAGGGGCACAAGCAAGAGGCGCACGCAAGAGGGGCACAAGCAAGAGGCGCACGCAAGAGGGGCACAAGCAAGAGGCGCACGCAAGAGGGGCGCACGCAGGGGACCCACGCAAGGGGCACTGGTGAACAAACCATCCCCACCATCCCCACCAACCACCCAGCCACCCAGTCACCCGTGCCCCCCTCCCCTCCCTTCCCACCCCCCACACACCAACACACCAACACACTCACCCAGATGAGCCACCGCAGGGCAGGAACTCTCTCCTCCAGTCGCTCCTCCACCTCCTCCCAACTGCCCTCCCACCCGCCCTCCCCCCCCTCCCTCTCTCCTTGTGCTGTCTCCCCCTCCACCTCCTCCTCTCCTGCCTCTGCGCTCTCTGCACCTTCTGTACCCCTTACAGGCTGCTGCGGTAGCATCCACTTGACTGCTGCTCGGGCGACCTTGTTGCAAGCAGGGGAGCCCCTGAGCAGGAAGACGGGAAGGGGGATGGAGGGACGAAGGGGAGAAGGGGAGGAGAGAAGGGAGAAGGGGAAAGGGGAGGGAGGTGAGGGAGATGAGGAGAAGGGGAGGAACGGAGAAAGGGAATAACGGAAACAGAAGAAGGGAGGAACGGGGGAAAAAGGGAAGGGAAGCCGGGAGAAGGGGAGAATGAGAAAGTGAAAAAGGCGGGTGGAAAGGGGACGAGATGAAAAATCTCAGGAGGAATGAGGGGATAGGAAGAAAAGTGCAGGAAAGGGAGACGGAACTGAGAGTTCAGAAAGCTTGGGTCGGGAGGGTGGGTGAGTGAATGGGTGGCTGGTGGGATGGGATGCAGGAATGTGGGGCAGATATGTGAGGCAAAAAGGAGGAGAGAGGTGGCAAGAGCGATCTCACCCCATGCGCAGCACCTGCAAGGCGGGGCAGGCCTTGAGGAGGAGTGTGAGCGCCTGGAGCGACAAGGCGTTGCATTCTCTGAGGGACACACACGCGCATTAGAGGAGGGCGGGAAGAAGTGCACACGGGGAGTGGAGGGGGAGTGGGAGCAGGGAGAGGGGCGGGGAAGAGTGTGATGATGGTGATGGCGATGGTGGGTGCCGGTATAAGATTTAAGAACCGGAGGTCCAAGAGTTTATAAGTTAGGAAGGCTGAAAGGGGAGAGAAAGGTGACTGGCTCGCGAGCCAGGGTGGTGTTGAAATCAGTGGTAGCGGGTCGCTAAGTAAGAAAAAATCGCGAGTGTAACCAGATGTGGAATGCTACGTCAGAACTCGTTCGCTGACTGTTTCGGACGGGCTGCAAATGTGTTTGCGGATTTGTCACCGCTATCGTCCTCGCATGAACAGTAATTTCGCTTGGCGAAAATCGTCCCAACAATTTGCGAGGAGAGCTGGTATCAACTGGGTCACACCCAACCAAAGTTAGGAAGGTTGAGGCAGTTTGGGGCTATTTGGGGCTCCGGTTTTAAGAAAAGATGCGTAAAGAACCTGAACAGCCAAGTGAAGTCAAGTGTGAAAAAACACTTGAGAATTCTCAGACGCGAGGCTGCGATGAACGCTCAACCTGATTCGTGAAAGAGCCTCCTTGCTTCCAGGTCACCTGAACATTCACCTGAAGTCTCACCTGATGTCTAAAGCTACAAGCTTGGTGCAGGTCTGTGCCACATGGCACAGGCCTTGGTCTGACACGTTAGATCCACACAAGTCCACAATCTGCCATGTGTCATCCACCAGCGCTTCCAGCAGCCAATCAGAGAGCAGCCCTCGACGCCTCGCGATGGCTGTCAGCGCGAGCTGTATTGACACGTGGACCAATGGAGAGGAAGGTGGTGGGGGGGGAAGGGTAGAGGGAGGGGGGAGAAAGGGGGTAGGGAGCGGGGAGAGAAGGACGTGGGGATGGGAGGGGAGGAGGTGGGGGCAGTGGGGGGTTGGCGGGCGAAGAGGATGGAAGGGGAGAAGTTGTTGACTGGAGATGTTGAGGGCGGGAAGAAAGGGGAGAAAGTTGTTGACTGGAGATATTGAGGGTGGGAAGAAAGGGGAGCACGCACACCACACAGACATGTCCCAACCCCAACCCCAACCCCAACCCCACAGCCACCTGCGCATGAGCATGTGGCGTGCAGTGCAAGGCAGGTGGAGCTCCAGTCCGACTTTTCTGGCCACAACCATTCTCACCAGCACAGACCAGCCCTGCGTGATATGCACCCACCTAGACCTCTCTGTACCCACTTAGACCTCTCTGTACCCACCTAGACCTCTCTGTACCCATGGAATTTGGCAATATCGAAGTCCCTTCGAGTTGAAAACTCGTAAAGGTGACTCATCTCTGTTCCCATGATATTCCGCCCGCCACAGGCCAATGCCTCTCCATGCCCATTCATGCATGCGCCCTACCCACCACACCCATGCAATCCGGCAATCCCCGCAGCCCCATGCGCATTCTACCCACGGTGCCATGCGCATCCTACCCACGGTGCCATGCGCATCCTACCCACGGTGCCATGCGCATCCTACCCACGGTGCCATGCGCATCCTACCCACGGTGCCATGCGCATCCTACCCACGGTGCCATGCAACGAGCATACATGCACACGCACCCGCGCGTGCGAGGGCAGCAGTGCCACGAAGCCTCTCAAGTCCAACTCGCACTCGCGTGAGTCCATGCGGAGGAGGCAAGGCAGGTAGCGCCCCACCTCGCCCACACACAGCTGCAGCAGGGACGGCACAGGGGGAACTGGTGGGCGAAACAGGGGGGAGAGGGAACGGGGAAAGATTAGGGATTTCGAAAGAGCTTAGTGGGTCTGAAAAAAACAAAATCCTCATGGGGAAACAGTTTTAGAGAAAGGGGAATTTGGCAGTTGGGTTGCGGAAGGGAATAAAAGAAGCAGGGGATTGGGGTTGGGTGGAGGGGAGGGAGGCGCAGAGGCAACGACCCACCCTATCCCGCTCCATCTACCCACCCCTCTCCCCCTCTCCCTACCCTATCACCCCCACCTCATCCCCCCCTCTGCACCTCCTTACGGGTAACCATCTCACCTCAAGCCCCTCCCCCACTCCTCCTCCGCCTCCTTATCTCACCGTCTCGCCCACGCATCCCCGTCGCGAAAATCAGTCCCGATCGCCCAGCCGCCATTTCCCGCCCGCTCTGCGCGTCGATCGCCTCCTCTCCTCTGCCGCCTCCCTCGCCGCCTGTTGCGCCGCGTGCCACGCCGTCAATCGCGGGCCCTACACGATCCCCTAACGGTCCGTCGGCCCCAGACTGCGAGTCGGCCCGCCCGCGACGCAGATAGTCCGGAGCGGCGCCGCCGAAATCTACGGCGGCTCGCAGCGCGGTCGCTTCTTCCACTGACGACGGTATACGCGGTGCGTCTCTGGTGGTACCCGCGCTGGCAGTGGCGGGGGTTGCGGCGGGATTTGCTGCAACGTTCGCGGCTTGGTTCGCGGGGGGTGCTGCGGCGAAGTCTTGGCAGAAAGCGCAGGTGCAGTCGGGGGTGCCGCGACAGCGATGATTGACGACGGACGTGGGGAAGCGACGTCGCGATGCCATCTTATCGCGCCCTTCACGGAATTTACGGTGCGAGCAGGCAGCGCAGAGGGATGTGGTGTGGTGGTGAGGGACAGACGCAGAGGAAAGCGTGTAAAACAAGAAATTGCAGTGAATGGAGCGTGATGAATCTGAATTCGTTCACAAATTACGAGTCAAGTCCAGGGTTTAGGTCCAACGATTGTGTAACCGTGTTCCGCAAAGCCAGCGAAATGACGCGTCACTGATGATTAGTTGGGACCTGCGGCTGCTTCGGATCTGTTACGACGCCCATGCCGTCTCATATTATGTATTATTTAGTTCCTTATAATGCCGTACTATTTTCAACCGCACATAATTCACATACTAGCCATAGGTAACCCTTGCTAGCATAGCAACATAGCAAACAAATAGCTGCACCAACACCAGACCCTCATATAGTACAATAAACCCCACCTGTAAAACAAAACAAACGTTTGCTTCCCATCCCACAAAGCCCCTCATTCCCGCATCCCCCCTATTACCGTACAACTCCATTGGGAACCTGTTACCACATTAGTTCGAACTCCCCAGAGAAGCATCACCTGTTATCAACGCTCTGTGACGCGCCTCGTGGGTGTAATCTCCACCGTCCGTGCCCAACCCTAGATGGTGCTTGCCATCACCTCCACACGTACAGCGTTCCCCTCCGCCCATCCTCGTCCCTGTACCTCCCTTTTTCCTCGTCATCTCCCCTGCATCTCCCTCAACCCTTGGCAGTGAGGTCGAGGCTCTGAGACAACCTGACCAGGCGCGATGCACCCAACACAATGAGCTCCTAGTACGAGGAGCCATCACCACCGTCCGTGCTGAAGACGCTGAGCTCAAATCACGTGGGGCAATCACCACCAGACCACCCTGGAACATGTGCTTCCCTCAATCACTACAATCCCCTCCAATCCCCCCAACCCATCCAGCCCCCTCAACCCCCCTCAGCCCCCTCATCCCCATCAGTCCCCTCAATCAATCCCCGTCACTACCCCCATTAGAACGTGTTGGCAGTGAGATCGAGGCTACTGGACGACCCCACCATGCGGGACGCGCAGAACACACTCAGCTAATAGGGTCCCACCTACCCTTGAACCCCCTCCAACCCCTCACCACTGCCCTCCACCGCATCAGAACGTGTTGGCAGTAAGCTCGAGGCTACTGGACGACCCCACCATGCGGGATGCACCGAACACAGAGAGCTCAAAGGACGTGGAGCCATCACCACCGTCAGAGCTGTATGCCAGCAGGCTCGCCATGGCTTCCATGTACGGCATCTCTGCCCGCCCTTCCTCATCCACTGCCCCCGCTCCATTGCTGCCCGAGCCACCCCCAGCACCCCCAGCATCTGCTCCCCCGGTATCCCCGCCAGCACCGCCGGCATCTGCTGCTGGGTCGGCTCCTTTTGTCTTTTTTCCGCCGCTGCTGCTGCTGTCCCCACCGGTTTTTGCTCCCTTGCCACCCTTGCCGCCCTTCTTCCCACCTTTCCGGCCCAGAGTTTGGAGGGATAGGGCTGCTGTTTCTGCTCTGTCCTTGAGTTTACTTGAGAGTGGTGTGCCATCGATTTGGTTCGGCTGGGCTACACCTGCAGTGTTGCTTAACGAGGCGGTCTTTATGGAGGATGAGGATGCTCCTGCAGACAGTGACTGTGGATGGTTCTTGCCTGCAGTTCCTCCCTTCTTCCCTCCCTTCTTTCCCCCCAACTTCTTCCCAATGGCAGCAAACGCACCACCTAACGCCCCTGCCACACCCCCCCCTCCACCACCCCCACCACCACTCCCACCAATCACCCCCGGAAGAAACTTATTTTTCCCCTTACCCCCCTTCTTCTCCGCCCCACCCCCGCCAACATCAGAGCCCACCTCCCCGGCACCGGGGGGGTACTGCAGGCCAGCAGCGGCGTCAACAGTGAGGTAGCCCGCGCACGTGAAGAGCCCCATGCGCGGGTTGGCCCAGCGCGAGCGGGCGCAGTGCAGCGGCAGGGCCGGCATGGCGTGGGTGTCGTTGTAAATGCGGAGCAGCGGGGAGACTGGGTCCTCCTCTGGGTCGACTATTGCGACGACATAAGAGAGGTTGTATTGAGAGGCTCTGGTGGCGGTGGGAGGGGTGGGAGTGGGGTGAAGGAATAGCGGCGGTGAGTGCATGCAGCAAAGAGAGGGTCCCCTTGAGGGTCGACTATTGCCACCACGTGGGAGAGGTTGTATTGGGAGGCTCTGAGGGCGGGGTGGGGAAGGAGAAGAGTGGGAGGTGGGGAGGGCGAAGGGGAGGCGAAGGGGGGGAAGGGGGTTGTTGTGAATAACATAGTGGTGAGTACAAGCCACGTAGGACAGGTTGGACTCCAAGGGTTGTGAAGGGTGGGGTGGGGTTGGGGGGGAAATGGGTGGGTTGGGAGGGTGGGTGGGTGGGAGGGTGGATGGGTGGGGGGGTGCGTGGGTGGGGGGGTAAGTGCGTGGGTGGGGGGGTAAGTGGGCAGATGGGTGTGAATAGATGGAAGCAGCACTGGTGGCAAGTAAAAGCAGAGGGGTGGGGAGGGGATGCTGTGGGTGCACTAGAGCCATCACATAGGAGGAATTGTTGTGGCGTGCAGACGCGAATAGTTGTTGAGGGGACAAATGGGCGGCTTTAACAGGAGGAAGTCGGCAACTGAGCTGAATGCACGCGAATGAGTGTAAATGTATGGCTGTACATTACATCAGCTGTTACAAGCTGTTACAGCCGTATATAACAGCTTGCTTGCACAGGGCACTCACTCAAAGGCGATGTGCAGATAAGCGCCGCCTGTCATGGCATCCACGAGCGCAGCGCTGAAGAGAGGGCTTTCCAAAGGGGCAGCAAAGACACCGGGGTTGCCTGGAGGGTGGAGGGGGACGGGAAGAAGGGGTGTAGCGCGCTTGAGACGTGTCGAAACTCAAAAAGCGCCGCCAGTCATTGCATCCACGAGCGCACTCTTGAGAATTCTCAAAAGTGACATAAGCGCCGCGTGTCATTGCGCCGAAGAGAGGACTCCCCAAAGGGGTGATGAGGAGACCGGGTTGCCTGTGAGGAAGGAGGGAACGATAACAGGGGGGGTTGACTTGGGCCATGCTTTGGCTCCTTCCTTTATGTGAAAAAACAAAAAGGAAAGGGGAAAGCGGAGGGCATTGTGGGAAGAGGGGAAAGGCAGGGACAGTGGGAAGGAGTGCGGACGGGGGGAGAAGAAAGATGGAGGGGGCCAGAGTGTGGAAGTACAGAGGGGGTGCAGTTGCAGTGAGCATTCCAATGGAATGACTCCATGCCCTTGCCACACCCAACACTCTTCCACCAAACCGTCCTCCACCCACCAAACCACCCTCTTCCACCAAACCCACCCCTCCCCACCCACCCAACCACCCTCCACTCACCGAATTTCCTAGCGTTGCCTCTCTCCAAACTTGCCACAGCCAGCTTGGGTGGCTCGTCCGAGTATCCCGGGGGCGACACCGTTTCCACCGTGTACTCGCCCACCAATTGCGGCCTGCCACCTGGCGCCAACTCCTTGGACATCGTGTCCGTGCCGTCCTGGAAGAGAACCGAGCCGTAGGTTTCCCAAACCGTTGGAACCACTTTCAACCACTCTGTACCTGGTGGGAGTGAAAAGGGGCGCGCAAGTGGCACGTGGAGGGGGATTGGGAGGGGCGCGGGGGTGGGGGGGTATTGAGGGAAGGGGGGGTTGTGGGAGGGGTAAGTTTGGGGCAAACGCGTAGAGGTACCGCAGCAGTGGCAGCAATGGTAGCAGTGACAGCAGTGGCAGCAATGGTAGCAGTGGCAGCAATGGTAGCAGTGGCAGCAATGGTAGCAGTGACAGGACCACTGAAGGGAGTGTCGGAAAGGGAATAGGGAGTGGGGGCGCGGGGGGGGGGGGGGGGGGGGGGGGGGGGGGTGTGTGGAGGGAACAGAACGAAGAGGATAACATATGAGGGAGAGAAACGAGGAAGGGAAAGGAGAGGGGGAACGAAGAGGGAGAAGGGACGGGAGGAGAGAGGGGGAGCAGTTAGCACAGACCACCAGTGAGGCTCTCTGCCGTACCTCCGCTCCCTGCCATACCTCCCTGCCATACCTCCCTGCCCTACCTCCCTGCCCTACCTCCCTGCCCTACCTCCCTCCCGAACCTCCCTCCCGAACCTCCCCACCGTACCTCCATTCCCAGCCAGCGTCTGCAGCTCGACGGCGGTGTCCTTGCCGGCCGGCGCGGACGGCAGCATGGAGGGGTTGCGATAGAGAGTCACGTTGTAAGGGGGATTCCACGAGCCGCCCACCGTCAGCTGGAACTGAATGCTGGTGCGCGGCGGGGGAGCGTTGGGGGGGACCGAAGAGGGGGAGGGAAGGGAGAAGGGCGGAGGGGTAGAAGGGCCGGGTGGGGAAGGGAGAAGGGCGGAGGGGTAGAAGGGCCGGGTGGGGAAGGGTGGAAGATGTGTGTGGGGAAAAGTGTAGGGGAGGGTAGGGAGGGACGAAGTGGGGCGAGGAGGAAAGAGAAGGGGCATGAGCGGCAGAGAGAGTGGAGAGGTTGTGTCGTGATAGTAATGGTGCAACGTGGAAGGATGCACAGAAGGAGAAAAGGTTGTGAGGAGGTAAATGCGGTACCCAGCGGGAGGAGATAGAGGAGGAGAGGAGGAAAGGAGGGGGAGGGAGTGCGGGTGGGTCTGGAGGGGTGTGAAATGGTGAACGAAGAACATGCGGAGGCGAGAAAGCGGGGAAAAGAAGGCCCAGGTAATGCCCTCACCTCTCCGCTACAGCAATAGCCGCTATACTCTTAGTCGACGTCCCGCGCGCCATGGCGGAATAGTAGGCTGGCGGGGGACATGGGCGGAAGGGGACATGGGCGGAGGGGGACATGGGCGGAGGGGGAGGAGAAGAGGAGGAGAAGGGAGAGGGGGGTGGAAGAGAGGGGAGGGAGGGGGAAGGGGGGGAGAGGAGGAAGGAGGGGGAGGTGGAGGGGGGCAAGTGGAGAGAGTAAGAGCGGGAGGTGGGTGGTGGCCAGTAGATCTCTGTGATACACTCGCGGCGTGCACGTTGGTAGATGCACGGACAAGCACTCGCGCACGTGCGAGGTCGACGAGCGAGCGCGTGTTGTATCTGTGTAACCGTGTAACCAAACTGTTCGCTGCAATTTACTGCCACTCTACCGCAACTGTTCGCAACTCTTCGCTTGTCGCCCATCACCCTTAATCTCCGCAGTTCGATACTATTTGTCGTCTTATCGCGTACTATCGCCCATGTTAAGTCAACTCCGAAGTCGTCGGCAAGCCCGAGTTCGGCGAAAGTTAGTCGCTCATCGCTGATCGTCGCATGCTCACTGTGTTGGCTGCTTTCCTCTTTTTCTTGCCCGCACGCTCGCCGTTTGCTCTTTTCTTACAGCCTTCGCCAACGGTCTTCCACTTTGCCCTTCGCCTGTAGCTTTCGCCTGTGGTCTTCGCCAATGCATTTCGCCTATGACCTCCTATGAACTTTGCCCTGGCCTTTGCCTATCGCCTTCGCCTCCGAATGTGGTCTTCACCAATGGCTTTCGTCTAAGGTGGTAACCACGCTGTGTCGCTCACCAAGGCCCGCGTTCTCGTTTCTCTTGTTCTTGTTGTTGGGCCTGCCCTCCGCCGCGGGGGAACGCGCGAGCGCGAGAACCGCTGGAGAGGTACGGGGAACGCGGAGAAGTGGGACCGGGGGAGAGGAGGAGGGGGAAAGAGAAGGGGAAAGAAAAGGGGGGGAGATGGTGCGGAAGGCGTTGGGGGGACGGGGGAAATGGGAAAAAGAGGGTCGGGGAGGGTTATTGACGATGGGTGATGGGGGATGGGGGAATGAGAGAATGGTGAGAGGATGTGAGGTGGGTGGTGAGGGAAGTGAACGGACGTGCAGAGCGGACAAAGGCGCGAAGAGAGTGGCGACTGAGGCGACGCACGCGACGTGGCGACGTTTCCCGGCTAGGCAACTCCCGAACCTCATTACGCTGCTTTTGCTCAAAATAGACTTCAACTCGAGACGGCACTCGGCGGGAGACATTTCGTTGAAAGAAAGAAACATAAGCTCGGAAGTGAGAAAGATGCACAGAGGTTCTATAGCGAGTCGGCTCTAGGGAAGTTCTGGCTACAAACGCGTACATAGAACGAGTGCGATGCAGCATCGTCGTAGCTGCGCTTGATTCGTACAGTGCCGCGATCGAGCCATGGCTCGCGGGACCGCCTCGGCGTGATGCGATGGTAACGGATATGTGATACTGAAGGTGCACTGGATTGACTTTACAACTATGTGGGACTAAGGTCCATCGGATATATGATCACCACTTAATATTCTCGCTGATAAGCTGACTCTGATGCCCACGTTAGGTTTGTTGCGAGAGAAGCTTGGGTGAAGCGTTCAAGGACGGGTGTTTGTGTTGGTGTTGGCGTCGTTGCTAGTGTTGGTGGCGTTGGTGTTGCTGGTAATCGTAGAGTGAGCAAGACTACAAGAGAGATCACAGGAGATGGAGGAGATGGAAATTCGAGCCCTCATTCAAGGCGAAAAACACTGCATCTGTTCGTCGGAGACGAGATTGGGCAGGGCTGGGGAAGGGCAGGAGAAAATTCAGCTCCGTTCAGTTGCGCGCCGTGGCGAAGGGGTTGCAGTTTGGGTTGGGGGGAACAGAGGGTGTGCGTGCAAGTGTACCGAAACGAGGACCAGACGTGTCGAATTGAAACCAAGGAAATCGCCTTTGAGTTCTTGTGTACACAATATGTCGAGGTTTTCCCACTTTCGTACTATCCACGCGGATTTGTTAGGGCTGACCGAGGCACATTCCCTAAATCCACACAGTAGTGACACGGAGGGAAGGGAGCTAGAAATATTATATCCCTCTCCGACCTCCAACTCTCTCTCTTCACGCTGGCCCCATTTTCAAGGACCAAGCAACTCCCCGTGACTGACCCCCCTATTCTACGTGGTGCAGGATGCACTGTCGAGGGGAGCAAAAACATCACAAATTTGACATTGTTGCTAAGATACGAACCCCTGACTCTCTGGTCACGAATCCTATTTCACACATTATACCATAGTCCCTCAAGAATCATAGGGAACTCTGGCAATAGCCCAGACAGCTGTAGGGAGGACCGGCTTTCTGCGTATGTCTGCCCTTTGAGCGAAATCTACGCACCAAACAGATTTGTCGGGTAGCCTGATGTGGCAGACAGATAGCAGCTCCACTGCGGCTCGATGGACAAATTTACTGTAGCACATGCGCTCGACGGGTGATGTAACGACAAGGCGTCGTTCAGGTCATACCTGCGCTTCGTCGAACCCAGAACTTCTTTGCACAAATACTGTAGTGGGAGCATTACTGTTCCGGTTCCACGGCTTGTCTCACAGGAAATAGAAAGTGCAACTTGTGAAGTATATGAACTGTCACATAAGGAAGGAACACTTCTCAGCCAACTACATACATACCAGATTAGTCCCGAGCGGGTTCTCAGGTGTAATCAACTTGTACTTTCTCGACGTTGATTGGTCGTCGCTTTTTAGTCACACTGTTTACGCTGGTCGAAATGTTTGGGAGGTGACAAAAATATCTAGTTTACCCTCCCGACCTGGATCTGTTAAACAAAAGTACGTAAATTGACGACAGGGCAGAAAAATTAAACCCCTATAGAATCTGGACGCATTTGCGCGAGGGATCAACCCTAAACACGGTAAAGGGCATTGTTTTTAGGGTTGATGCCTCCCGAGTCGCATCCCTTCTCGATTGGGTTTTATTTTTTTGGGTCAAGACGGTGCAATATATTTTTCCTGAAGTGGGCGGCTTCCCGTAGTTGAGGTTGATCTGTCACGAAATTCATCTAGGTTCGCTACAAGTTTTTTTTTTTCAGGTGTTGCATTTTCTGCCGTGACTGTATTCAGAAAACAACAAGAAACACCTACTACTATATCGCGAAACTGTGTTTCTGTTGGTGATTACACCTGAGAATCCGCTCGGGAATACTTTATGGTATTGGCCGAACACTTCTCAACCAGAGGAAAAGGTTCCATGTAAATAATGGAAAAGGAAACGAAAAGCGAAACCAAATGTAGGTGGTTGCTAAGCAACCCAAAAATATGTAAGAGGTGATGATATATAAATCCGAAAATTCCCAGGTGGAAGGATGTGTGATGGAGTCCCTGGTTCAGGCCACAGAAAATAAAAAACCGTCCTGTAACAAGGTGAGATGAGATGCACGAACGACTCAAAGTTTGCAAGCGGATGGCACTGTACTGTAATGATACGATGAGCTTCGGCTCATCTTCCACTTGGGAGACTTCACCAGAATTTGCTCGTATGGCAAGTAGCTAACTAAAGAAGTATCCTATGATAGTTTTTATTTCGTTTGTTGCCGATGATGATTCTACCTACTGGTTGCAAGTTCACCCATATAGAACTCTTCCACTTGATCGAACACACGGGATGCATGTTGAGGCCTGCAACAAAGCAATAGCACACGAGGTAGCAAATCACGTTGTTAGCACTTTTATACTTGCCTTACTAGCTCTGAATTCTAAAATGTGGAAACCCAAAAGAAGCACCCATACCCATAGAAGCCTTCTGTTGCGTCCCCTCCTGCATTGTTGAGAATGGCGTCGCCACCCGGGTGCTCATCCACATACGACGTCAGATCGTACACCTGCAGGGACCACGGAGAGAGAGATTCATCAGGAGACAAGAAACTCAAGAGCTGTGCACCACCAGCTTTTGAAGCACCTCAAAAGCAACCAGGATGCTCCTCCACACATGACGTCAAAACATACGCCTGAAGGGACTACGGGGAGAGAGATCGCGCATGGGACAAGAAGCACAAGAGTTGTGCACTTGGGTGGTGTGGTGACAATGATGAGGATGGCATCGCCACCCAGGTGCTCATCCACATACAATGTCATATTGTACACCTGCGGAGACACTGGCAGGAGGATGCTGCATGGGACGAGAAGCCAGGAGCCATGCATTTGGGAGATCGGGAGGCAGCACAGAGACCACACAGGGGATGCTCTGTGATTCCGCCTACTGTTCCTTTAACCCTGTGATGTCTCCGCCTACTGGTTCCTTTAACCCTGTGATGTCTCCGCCTACTGGTTCCTTTAACCCTGTGATGTCTCCGCCTACTGGTTCCTTTAACCCTGTGATGTCTCCGCCTACTGGTTCCTTTAACCCTGTGATGTCTCCGCCTACTGGTTCCTTTAACCCTGTGATGTCTCCGCCTACTGGTTCCTTTAACCCTGTGATGTCTCCGCCTACTGGTTCCTTTAACCCTGTGATGTCTCCGCCTACTGGTTCCTTTAACCCTGTGATGTCTCCGCCTACTGGTTCCTTTAACCCTGTGATGTCTCCGCCTACTGGTTCCTTTAACCCTGTGATGTCTCCGCCTACTGGTTCCTTTAACCCTGTGATGTCTCCGCCTACTGGTTCCTTTAACCCTGTGATGTCTCCGCCTACTGGTTCCTTTAACCCTGTGATGTCTCCGCCTACTGGTTCCTTTAACCCTGTGATGTCTCC